ATAAAACTGCCTCGACCACTTACTGTCCTGTATAAAATAAAACATTGATAGTTTATAAGAAAAATTACAAAAAATAACGATTTTCTGCATTATAATAATTTTATAGACATGTGATTAGAAAATGCCATTTCAATTTTCCAGCAAACACATACACCATGAAAACTTACACTGAAACAACAAGAACAAAGAAAATTGAAAACAAACATAAGACTTAGGCAATTCTGACTACAACACAAAGCTTCTTTATTATGTCTCTCTTAAGTTTATTTTTTCTTGAAGCCATCTATAGAAAAGGATTTGAAAACAAATAACAAAAATTAGTTTAATTTTAATTTTTTTTATAAAATAACTAATATTTAAATGTATAAATATATTTATATATTGAATATATATAGTATGAAATGACAATATTAACAATATTTATTATATATACCAAAATAAAAAAATATTAACACATATATGATTATATAAACAAACCATAATTATTATTATATATATGAAAAATACTAATTTTTGCTCTTTTTTCTTTCTTTTTTTTCTTCTTTTTCCTCTCTTTGAAAAAAATACTACTACACACCAACAACAAAACACAAATTCCAAATTATTTATTTTTTTCTGGTTTTGGTTTCAAAATTTCAATTTTTTTGTCATTTAATTTGAAATTTTATTCAAAAAAATGATTGGATCTATGTAATTTGTTTGCATTTGTATGGAAAAAAACATAAAAAACAACAACAATCTTTATCAACATTGCAACACGAACAACAACAACTATCTGCTGTGCCTATTTCTACAACTACAACAACCCGAAAACAAAACAACATCAACACTCTTCTATCTTCTGAAACAAAACCCTGACACCACCAACTGTACACCCCAACAAAAATCTAATTTTGGTTTCCTTTTTTGTTTTTCTTTTTTAATTTTTTTTTTGTTTTATTTTTATCTTCTTCCTTTTTCTTTGTCTGTAAAACTCTTATATAGTTACTGGACACCCTCCCGGTGTGCCAAGATTTTAATAGATCTATGTGCAGTCGGTTAAATTGTAGATTCGTTCATTTAACTGAAGGTAAGTGCATGCTGCTGAATTTTATTTTTAGTTTTCAAATTTAATTTTTAATGGAATTTATTTTTTTTTTAATTTATATTTTTAGGCTTAATTAGTGTAGAATATTATCATTATATATATGAAACCAGTTTTGTAATTAGTTGCTTTCTTTTACTTGGAACAATGTCACATACGTATATTACATTAACATGATATGAAAAAATGAGAAATGGATTTTTATGGTTTAATTTTTCTTTTAAGTTTTTAAGGTATTTAATTTGTTTTTTTTTTTATTTTGCAAAAGGTTGATCAAATATTGATACAAATTTTTTTAACACTTTCTAAGTTCTGGAGATTATATAAAGTTGTAGGGATATTTAAATAATTTATTGACGTATTTGTATAACACTAAAGTTTTCTAACATTGGTTTGAAAATAAAAAAAAAAAAAAAAAAAAAAAAAACATTAAAAAAAATATGATATTTCTGATATTTTTTAGACTGAAAACTAACGAAAAATTAATATAATATATTGTACTCACTGGAAGGATAGATCGATTTTTAATACTTGTATCCCTTAACTATAAAATATAAGATATGTTAAATTTTTCAATCCATCCAGGAATATCGAAAAGCCCATAAAGTCCGTATTCACCATCAGTGACAAAAATATATATGTCGATTAAACCATGTCCGTCTGCCTCTCAGTCTGCTGAGATCAGATTTTGGTACAGGGATTGGTATTATTCCTAAGTTGTTTGGTTTTGAAAATGGACTGTACCGATCCTCATTATGGTATAGCCCCCATATAATAGTAGCTCAATATTTTCTGCATTTTGGGGGATTCTGTCTCAGTTTTCAACAAAATCAGGGAAATTAAATTCCCGCAATTTTGTTTTTAATATATGTTCCCATACTACTCCTATTTATTTGTATATTAAGGTTTCGACGATTTTGATTTTTTTTTTTTGATAATTTTTAAAATTTCCCAAATTATGCTGAAATATATGGTCTGGAATATATAATAAAGCAAAAATCGGTTAACATACTAAAAAGTTTAATATACTTGCAGTCCTGAAAAAAAAAAAAAACAATAAAACAAATGCTATTAGGGTTATATAAAATTTTGAGTATTAGGGTGAGAAAATATGTGTAATCACATTTGGAACTAAATATTGTGAAAAATCTGTAATGTTCCTTTGATTTTTTGCGGTTTTCTCATAAATTAAAATATCTTAAAAAGCATAAATGTTTAATTTAATTAGTTAATTTATTTGGAAATTTTAAAGTTTTAAGACTCTAGCTTTAGAATTAAGTTTTCTAAAAGCCATAATTTTTACATTTTTTTTTTAAATTTTATAAAATGAAAGCAAAAAGTGTCGGAAATAGCATAAACTTTTAGAATAAGTCTAGATTTGTTCGAATTGGTCACTTTTGGCACAAATTATGGCCTTGGTGAAGCGCTTGATGTGGTGTTGCATTCTCAACCGGGTGCTGCGACCCATAGAGCAGCGGAGGTGTAAGATAGTCCTCAACCCCTTACCAAGAGGGAAGTGAAGCCCATATAGCTGATCTTCGAATTGGTACCTGCGGGATAGACCTAGAACTCCGTGGAGGGCTGCCACTCTCTAAGAGAACTCTGGGTAATTCCAAAGGGGCGCTGGCCGACGCATCGTATCGCGACCCCTGTGCAATGGTGCATCATGGTTGAAGCCGTCAAGGCGATAATCATGTAAAACCCCTCGACTTCACCCTCCAGAATATTTTCGCAATAATATTCGACATTTATTCTGATGTCGATTAATACCAGCGGAGAGCGACCATCGGCTGTTAAAGCGGCCCACACAATCACCATGGCCGGCACTTGAGTTCTGGTGGCCAAACGAAGGTGCACATTTTCAGCTGACCTCTTTGGCAAGTAAACACGATCATTTTGTTTGTTTACAAACTGCTGCACAACGAATGTTTTTCTCATCGGAGAAAACCAAATTCGGCAGTTCATCACATTCTGCCAAGCGAAGCAACTCTTTAGCACTTTTGAGTCTATATTCTTTCAGTTGCGGTTTAAGTTCCTGCTCTTTTTGGAATTTTAATGACTTTACCCCGAGCTCATTTTCAATATTTGCCGAATATAATATTGCGATATATTCAGCTCACGAGTCATTTTTCGGCCACTGCGACGCTGGTTTCGATCAAGTCGCTTCTTTACTTTTCGAACTATTTCTGCTGATGTTGCTGGTTTCTTCCGTCCACTTCCTTGACGTCTGGCTACGCTACCAGTATCACGGTAACGAGATATGTTACGATACACAAAAGATTTATTCACATTTAAATGCTGAAGTGCTCTATGGATGGGCACTCGTTGTTTTCCAGCCAAATATAATGAAATCACACTATCACCCTTGAATTCCATCACGATTTACTTTTTTTTCTGGAAAATTCTCACCAAAATGCTTTTGTACGCTTGTAAACAATATAATGAGCTGTCACTGGAATAATTTTTACGGCTGCCCGACGAGTTACTTAGAAATTATAGCAATCTGAAGTTGGTTGCTGTATATATTATTTTAATCAGAATGTGCATTTAATCCTCAGTTCTTGGTCCCAGTATGTCCCCGGAATGAAATTTCAAATTTGTGATCGAAATGCTTCCTATGATTGGAAATTCCTTACCTTCCAATATTCGGTATTTGTATATTTTTTTGACATTTTTAGCGGAATTTATTGAAATTTCGCAAGTTCCTTCCAAATAGCGGGGGTATTAAAAGTTATGCTCGGCCAAACTTAACTGTTTTTTTTAACAACTATTTAACTGATCGACATGGTGATGATCGATATTTTAAAGTTTTCTGCCACAATTATCGAACGAAATGACTTTTTTTTTTTTTTTTTTTTTGAACGACTACTTAACTGATCGACATGGTGATGATCGATATTCCCCAACGAAATGACTCTAAATTAACATCTTGCTTTATCATGGAATAAAAATTCGATAAAACTAAGAAATATTGTGATATTGTTATTGTAAAGCTTTATATAAGTCGTTAATAGGGCTATTGAAAGCTTATCCTTAATTTTACTTCGAATATCGGATTGCATTAATGTTACGGATTATGGAAAATAGCCAACGATAGAAGCCATTCTGTTAAATTGCAAAGTTCTATTCAATAATGTTTTGACTTTAAATTAAATATTTCTAAGGTTTTACCCTACTGACACGGGCTATAGAGTCAAACAATTTTCTTGAAAAAATGAGGTAGCTAAAACCCTGAAAAAATCCTATAAGACCAATAACCAATATTTGGCACAATATATCATCAAATCAAATACTATTCATATTTTTTTGAGACCTATTAATAAAAATTTTAAATCATCAAAGAATACAAAACCTAGCATCATATAAACCAGAATCATCGTAAAATATAAAATATTTTTTTAAATTTATAAAAATATACTTAATTAAATCGTTAAAGATTTAAGTATTTTATTCGTATTGGATATAATTTTATTGAAGTTACATTTAAGTCACCATTTTTAAGAGAGATATTTTTATACACATTAATTTTAGTTTTCACATTAAAGTTTATAGTTTTTTCTTCATTCTCCCAATGAAATATCATACTAATCACAAAATATTATCTATGCTCTCTCTTTCTCTTTTTTATCACTCAACATGTGTCCAAAAACATAAATCAACAGACGATAAGGTTGAAGTATGTGATCAACGTGTGGCTGTGTGTCGTGATCATGCCAATGGTCAGTGCAGACGTAAACAATGTAAATATTATCACATACCAATTGTATTACCGCCGGCAAATATAATGGCAGCATTAATAAATGGCAATACAAATAACAGCAACAACAACAGCAGCAGTACCACTATCATCAACAACAACAACATCAATACTGTTAACAACAATAACAACAGCAACATAACCAATCTTAACAATCAAATGCAACAACACGAATTCGAGCAACATATTTTGCAACAACAACAGCAGCAGCAGCTTAAAATACCCACATCTGGTGGCATTGTGCCGGCTGTGGCAACAACAATTGCCACAACAAACTACAACAACAATCTTATTATTATTGAACCACATCATCAACAGCAGCAGCAACAACATTTCTACACGCCGGCCACCATCAGCTATACCCAACATCCATCAGCGATGGCCACAGCAAAAGCCTTGACAAGCCAATCGAGCCAATTATTTCAGGCCACACCCACAACCCATATAGCAGCAACAATACCACATATCTATCATACCTCACCACACCAACAACAACAGCAGCAGCAACAACAACAACAATATCAACAGTTACAGTATACAACTGCCAATACAACAGCATACCAAAGTGGCCATCAACAGCACACTGTTCATCCCCACCACCACCAACACCATCATCACCAGTCTTTACATCATCTAACCTCACCCTACTCTCCATCGGCTGCCTCAACATCATCCTCCGCCTCGTCGTCCTGTTCGAAAGCCTGCTCACCCACACTGTCCAACACCACGACACACTCAACGACATCCACAGCAACAATACCCACACCGATGGCAGCTAATTATTTGCCTTTAGCCGCAGCAACAACAGCTCCCCTGCCACCCTCGACCACAACCAATTTCCTAAAGGCCCCGCCACCACCACCGCCCCACAATGCTGCAACCGCCATGACTTTAGCCATTGCCACCCAGGCCCCACTCGTCTTGGGCTGTTCCACCCTGTCCAACAGCAGTTACAGTACGAATTGCATTCCAATTTTGACAACGCCGCCAGATGTTAGCGCCCTGACAGCCGCTCATCATCATCAGCAGCAGCAGCAACATCACCATCATCATCAAACCGGACATGCGACAGCAACAGCCTTTATATATCCGGCAACTGCGCAACCGCAACATTAAATCAAAACTACAACAATTCGTGCATATGCATAGGTGTGTGTATGTATGTATGTATGAATGTTTACTTTTTTTTGGAGATTTTTGTATATTGTAAGTCACCCTCCCCCCCCCTTTTGTATAAGTACGCATAGATATGTATATTTATATTGAGAAAAAACAAAACAAAAACAACAACCACATATGTATTTGTCTGTTTGTATTATTTGTTTATGTAATTGTTTAAATACATATTCATAAATTATTTAGAATTTTTGTAAATTTTTATTGTTTTATTTGTTTTTATTTTATTTTTAAGTTTATTGTATTTGTTGTTTGTGTTTATATTGAATAAGTTCGTTTGTATGTTAAGCTCTAAGATAAGTTTGAACAATTAAAAAATTGGGTTATGGTTATGACGTCATACCAAGAGATATTCACAAAAATTGATTTATTGAATTAATTAGTATTTCATTGGAAGAAATTCAACAATTTGGATAATTGAAAAAATTCATAGAAAAAATTGAAAAATCATATTTTGTTAATAAATAACGTAATTGTTTAAATATATGTACAGTACATACCAATTAAATGTGATTTTACGTGAGAACAAATATCGGAGTGTGTTGTCTTAGATGCTAAATTTTTAATCTAAAATCATGACAATGTACAGTACATTATTTATTTGTTGTACTGTGTAAAAAGTTTCATTATGATTTTTTTCAATTTTTCGATTCTCGTCCCACAGACATTATTTGCCCATTATTAAATTTAAAAATTCTTCGTGATTGATTGTACAGTACAAAATGTATTTATTTATATTAAAATCTTACTCGAGGAAATGATTTCTAATATTTTTGTTATTTTTTCAAAAGCGTGTACAGTATAATCAAACTATTTTTTCTGTTTCGTTTTTTTCGTAATTTTTGACAGTAAAAAATATTTTTATAAAAAATTCGTTATTTTCTACGGTACAATGACAAAAACCATCAGATTTTAAAAAATTGTCATATGATGTAAAAAATTTAGTTGTTATCGTCCCAGTATTTAATAATTATCAGGAGCAAGGAATCAGTTATACAGGTTTGTACAGTACAACAGGAATATATATTGTCCAATAACATTGTGCCACAATTTTCGGCTTATGGAAAATTCGAAGTGGAGATTTTAGTATACCCGAATTCCAAAAGGATTTTGGACTCCCAGATTAATCCTGTTTTTAGTACCAAATATATGTGTGGCCTTAGATATATACAAATGGCCTCAAATAATAGAATAAGAGAGATACGGCTTTTAAATTTTTGATATAGGCCTATGGGCTAAATGTAGAATAATTTGTACAAAGTAGGGGTCATAACGGTCAACGTTTTGGCATAGCTGCCATGTAAGGATATACCCCGCTTTCAAATATTTTTTTACATTTTAGCCATACTTTCAGACTAAATTCGCAAATTTTTGCAATTTGAGATCCTAGTAAGAAAATATCATCCTTGCAAAAAATTGTCAACATTGGTACAAGTTTTGATCTAACCCTGATTTCAACTATTCCCGAGGTCTTGGCACACATTTTTTGATTGGGGAAAGAAAACCTATTCGCCGAAATTTTTCATCGTAAGTAAATATTTTGGAGTAGCACCTATATAAAGGTACCTCTAGATTTTACATATTTTGAGGGTATTGACCACATTTCACATTTAGGTCATGTCGGTCCACGTTTTGGTATAGCTCCCATGCAGGGGTCGATTTCGAATATTTTTTACATTTTAGCCATATTTTTATACTAATTTCGCCAAATTTTTGTAATTTGAGTTCTTAGTAAGAAAATACCATCCTTTTTTTGATCACATTTCACATTTGGGTCATGTCGGTCCAGGTTTTGGTATAGCTCATGCTCTCATACGATTTCAAATATTTTTTGCAATTTAGTCGTATTTTTATACTAATTTCGGTAAATTTATGTAATTTGAGTTCTAAGTAAGAAAATACCATGCTTGGGAAAAAAATTATCAACATTGACCCACGTTTTGATATAGCCCTCATATGAAGGTATCCCCTGATTTCAACTATTTCCGGGGTCTTGTCCATAAATATTCAATTGATTTGGCCCTTATTTTGCATCTTAATTTCTAAGGGGAAAGAAAACCTATTCGCAGAAATGTTTCAGAGTAGCTCCCATATAAAGTTGCCTCTATATTTTACCTATTTTGAGGGTCTTGACCACATTTCATATTTGGGTCATGTCGGTCCACGTTTTGATATAGCTCCCGATTTCAAATATTTTTTTCATTTTAGCCATATTTTATACTCATTTCGGCCAATTTTTGGCTAAAAACTGGAATTTAGTGTACTTTGGGTAGAGAGCCCCTAGAAATGTTTCAACACAAATATATATTTTGATAAAATTATCCCTCCCAGGTCCACGTTCCCAACAAATATTGTCTGGGCTTTGAGAAAATCTAATTGGTGGTAATCGTATTGGTTAATAACAGAAACTCCCTTAAAGGATTTTGAATTCTCATCTCAATTGTTCATTTATGGTATATGGTACCTCCCAAGTCCAATATTATATTGGTGTGGAAAATTTCAAAGGCAGGTAATGGCATTATGTCGCAATAGCAACACATCAAAGGGTTTTCAAATATCAGGCTATTTTTTTTATTTTATGATGAAGATCCCATATAGCCGTACCTCTCAGGTCCACGTTTCCAGCCAATATTGTCTTTGGATTGAGGAATTCTGAGTGGAGGTATTCGTATTGGTTTAACACAGCAAATCTCATGTATTTTGTATTTTTGGAGAATATTCTCTCCTAAAATACTTCCTAATAATCGAAATATAATTAAATTTTTCTATATACATTTTTTAATGATTATCCAAATTGTTGAAAATTTTCCCAATGTTTACAATTTATTCTTTTACTATTTTTATGCAAATATAATTGAATTTTAATTTAAAAAATTTTAAAAAGAATGTTGTGGTCTCCCCCCAGAAAAAAACAAAAACACCTACTGTTGTCAGATATATATATGTATGTAATATTCATTAAACTTTAACTAAAGAAAAACAATTTTATCTTTGTTAGGAAATAACATGTTCTGAAGATTTTATTTCCCTGCAAAGAAAGATCTTTGTCATATAACACCACTTTTTTGTTTTAAAACAATTCTTCTATCCTATAGTTGTTAAAATAATTATTTCAATTTCTGCCACAATATACACCCAATAATAAAAAAATACAACAAAAAAAAAATCAACATTTACAAACACCATAACATCCAATTTAACACAACAACAACCACAAAGAGAATGCAATTTCAAAAAAAAAACAACAAACTGACACATTTTTTTACATTAAAATTTTACTCAAAACATAAAACAAAAAAATAATCAAAAACCAAAAAAAAAAAAAAAAAAATAAACAAGAAATATGATATAATTAAATACACAACAACAACAAGATAATATTTACACACACACATTTTTAGAGTAACTAACAACAACTCCTACTACACACCAATACACATTCACTCACTCACACACACTAAATAAAAACTATATTTGTATTGTAAGAAAAAAAACCAAAAACAAAATAAAAAAAAACATAGAAACATAATTTTATAGAAATTTCTAGGAAACTAAAAATAATAATGAAATACAATGAAAAAAATAAAACTACAGAGCTGTTGAACAATTTATTGAATTATACAAAAATAAAACAAAAAACAAAGAAAAATATTAAATATTACAAAACAAGAAACCGAAGACGAAGCAGCAGATGAAAACGAAGACTTAAACATCTTCAAATAACCCGAAAACAAAACAACATTGAAAACACTACATAGAAATAGAATTCTGGTAGAGAAACAAAAGAGATGAAACTGTAGAACAAAAATAAAAACAAAATGAACTTCATAAAACATGATTAGGAGACGAGGGGGGTTTGAAAATTGGTAAAGGGAGAAGTACTAGAATTGTTTGACGGGAAATATTGGATTATATTTAAACGTAAACATAAGATTGAATCATACATTCAGTGTTGCGTATTGATCATACGCTGATACAGATTTTTAAATGAAGTGGTTCGTATGAGTATTGAATATTGTTCATACGCCTCATAGCATCCACTATTTTGCTGTTTTTAAAACAAATGAAACTCGTAGACATGTTTTTAAATTTTAGCATTTGTGGTTCCTCAACTTCAACTAGAAATATTCAAGTTCTAGAGAGTGTTGTTCTGGCACAGTTTTGGAGAAAACTCTTCCCATAGTGACTTTATATAAATGGATTAAATTTTTTTTTTTTTTTTTTTTTTTTTGAACAAAAAATAAATAAATTTTAAAACTAGGGCCATCCATCCCTTTAAAAATGTCATAAGACCTCGATCGCTTCCGTCCTTCAAACTGAATGTCAGTTTAAAATTCTTTCCAAGTCCCTTTTATATTTGACTTCATTTTGAAATATTCAGTGAAAACTGTGAAATGTCCTCAATTCTCCATTCAAATACTGAATAAGACGAAGTACAAGAAGGAACTGCGTTGTGTGAGAAGGCCTTTTTTATGGCCCAAATTTTACAAGATAAAAGTAGATGCAATCAAATAATACTGGAATAAATATATATATGCTAAAATGCTGTACTCCATATTCAACAATGAGATAAAGTAGCGAATATTCTGCAGATTATAGACAGCATCTCGCCACAATTCGGAGGGATCCTGGACACCAAGATAATTACAGGGCATTACGTGTTTATTGTATTTCTTTTCTGAAAAGTAAATATTGTCCCTCTACGGATTTTGAGAAAATGTCCTTTAATTTCCAGAAAATAACAAAGTATTGCCCCTGCAGGCACTCCGAAAATTTATTCCTCTGAAAAATATCACATTATTGCCCCGTTAAGGATTTTGAAAAGTACACTTTATTCTCCTTTACTGCTTTGAAATTTAAAAACCTTCGAAGACAGAAAAACTTTGTCACTTCTTGGGACATTCAAAAATCTGATTTTTTTTCTTACTAGCCAAGTTGTG